AAAATTGTATAAAGATTATTTTTACACCAGATGAGCAGGCTGTGGATTTTAGACATGTTGCTCTACTAAGAATTCTGCTTCGTTTGACACCAACACCAGCTTTTTCCGGGTAGCATCGATATTTCATCTTCAACGACCGGACGTTGTGCACATGGTGTCACTGAACTTCATTTAGCCGCAACGTCAGTTAAAAAGTCAAGGTCATAGCAAGCCCTCGGCATTTGCCGTTGGGAGACTGCACTGTATCAATAACCAAACGCAGCATACATAGTACGCTATAGGACTACACACACGCACGCACGCGCGTACACACGCACACACATAGGGTTAGTCAGAAAGATTTGAACGAGCCAGGTCAAACAGAGGTCAGGGAGACATAGACCCTACGGGCTATACTAACTGTTCTGGAGTATATATAAATACACATTTCGTATTTTATATTCACTTCTAATAATATACAACCTATATGTACAGCAATTAAATTAATAAACTACTAAATTATCAGGATCGAGTGTATGAAACACATTACGTGTTTATACAGACGTACCATATGCCGTTTACTATACGCAACTGACCTATTTGGCATTCCGCTATGGTTTCTTTCACAACAGAATCCACGATGAAGTCCATTTCCTCTTTTAGCAGCTCCCCGCCATCTCTCTTTTTAGCTATGAGGTCTGGTATCCGATATAGCTTCACAGGCTTCGTGGCATGATTCTTTTGCGAAATAGCCGACATCGTTGTATACGCGTAGACTTTAACTGCTTGATAAAGTCAAACACGATGAGCCACGTATCGTAAAGTTAGACACACACGCACGCATGTACGCACACTATCAGCCACGTAGTGGAGAAAAAGCAGGAAAACGAGTTCATCTGGCTGTATATCGTCTCGTAGTGGCAACGGGCCAACAAGCAGCAGCGTTGATCAAATTTCCAAGCCGACCTTGACGTACGTACGTCACTATGATAATTTATATTACTAGTTAGCACGTGTTTCCTGGCCGCGGGGAACGCGAATCCCAGTTGCAACAGCATCAGCACCAGGACCAAGATAAGACTCACAATGCATCACCCTTATATATCTAACGTTTATCAATTATCAGTATAAACATCTTCATTCGTTGTAGGAAGTCAAAACATGTCAGCATACCCAGAGTAAGAATTATCCTGTATACATGCAGTAGCTTGAGGTAAAAAAGAAATTCTCGTCTTTTTAAACATACATCAACAGCGTATTAAGAAACCATTAAGCTATACGATAAGGACAGATTAAGATATATATATTAAGATATTATATATAAGATTAAGATATACGATAGCTTAAGGAAGAGCGTATTAAGCTTTTTAATACGCTCTTGATATACATGCATATATAATGTCGTATTATATTGTAATGGCCCTAGGGGTCACAGGCACTTGAAACGTCTCAATAAAAAAAATAATGGTAAATAAACACGAAATGTATTTACTACCAAAGTCTTAATGTTTCTCTACTCTATTTCGCCTATTATTTCCATTGCATAATCACATGTGAATGCCGGTCAAATGCTCATCTGCAACACACAAGTACATCGCACGCACGCCCTGTGCACAAACAACAAGAATAAGAGAATAAGAACAAAGATAAGAACGCTCTTATTCTTGTTGTTTGTGCACAGGGCGTGCGTGCGGTGTACTTGTGTGTTGCAGATGAGCATTTGACCGGCAGTTACAGGTGATTATCGGCAATAATAGGCGAATTAGAGTAGAGAAACATTAAAACAGATGTCCCAAGTTGGGAAAATCCAAGAAAGGGATCACTTGTGATAATGGTCCATCGCCGTTTTTTCGCGGTGCGCAAAAACAGGGAAAAAGTTGTGGCGGCCTGCGACATGTGTTTGTCGCTGACTATAGCGCGCAGTACCTGTGCTTGTCAACGACACAACCATTCCATTCCAGTGGCCAGTGTAATGTTTCCCCAGAATATGTCATAGCTCTGGTTAACGATGATGTTTCAGATGCCGTCAATCCATGCAGATATATTGCCATCAGCAAGGCGCCTGTTGAAATATTGCGTTGACATTTTTACAATCTTTTGACATTTTTAATGGCCACAATATATAACTTTTTGCAGATATTCGATTTGACTATTAGAATAAAGACGGGATTTTCCTCCCTGTACTTATTTCAAGATCTCAAGTCGATTGTCAATTGAGTTTATTCGCACTCTCGTATAGCAGTGGCAACAAGAGCACTCGGAGATAGCAAACCTCCGCCACAGCGTAACAGTATTGCTGGTACACCCAATATAGAGTTTAATGAAATTTTCAGAAATTTGAAAAAAAAGATCGAGTATTTTTTTTGATGAATTTTGAATGCGTCCGAAGTCTTCCCAACAAAATTTTTTTTTTAATAAAAAATTAAATCCTGGATCCAGATCTCGATCCGGATCACCCCCAAAATCTAATCGATTGGTTCTTGGCCCAAGATCAACCCAAAATTTTACCAAAATCCGTCCGTAACTTTTTGAGATATCCCGTTGACAGACAAACCAACAAACAAACCAACAAACATACTAACAAACAAACTAACAGGGGCGAAAACAACCTCCTTAGCGTTGGTAATAATCGTATGCTGTGTGCTGGGTCGAGTGTAGTGTAGTGACGTGAGAAGAAGAAGAATAGCAGTGCACCTTGGGGGGGGGGGCTGTAGCTATAGTGCATCGTAGCTATATAGCATGCAGCCGTTGTGTCAACGCCTTTTGCGCGCAGCACCTACGCCTTGATCATATCTCCGTACAGCCAACGGGTTTTGCAACATTGTAACATTGCAACATACTTTGTTCACGTACCTCACCTGACCCGCGTGCACTTAGAATTAATGCATCGCTTCTCTCACACCCATAGAAATATATAGAGACACAATATAGTCTAACTAGTATATTATTTCTATGCGCACACCACTTCTGCGCTCTGGCCAGTGTTCCCTGAATGTGGCCCGTAGTAGAGGATATGTTACGCAATCGCATGTGTGCAGACGTTTGATAAATATCGCTAAAACAATTTTTAACTACGAAGGGGGGGGGGGTAGAGACATGTGTTCCATAACAAATGACCACACGTTCAACATACATCGGAAAATCCCCCATTTATCAGCACAAACTATACATATATTAGCATCGTAGATATTGTACAGATTGGTGATTAACGAATGCGGTGGGTGCAGGAAATATAATTCGGTATTTTAATTAGCATTTTACCATTGTGCGCTGCAATTCAATCACACCAGGAGCGTATAATGACATTGTCATTATACGCTCCTGATCACACGACACCTCATTACGGCATCGCAGTAAGCAATAAGCAATTATACGCCATTATATTGCGCTATTATTATACGCGCTATTATTATTATCGCTATGATTATACGCAAATATAAGTCGCTTAAGCAATTATACGCCATCGCAGGCAGAATTGTTTAAATAGAGACGCTTTTTGAACAGACGGGTAGAGTCCAGCGTCGCTTCTCTAGGTGTGAGTATGGTTGTACCTTCGCATTGTCTTGTGTATCTTGTACTGTGTGCATATGTGTTTAAACTCTATGGAGATAGAGAGAGAGAAAAAAAAGATAAATAGATTGAGCGCGAATGAGAGCGCGCGCGTGAGAGAAAGGCACAAGAGAGAGCGAGAGAGAGAGAAAGAGAGAGAGAGGAGAGAGAGAGGAGAGAGAGAGAGAGAGAGGAGAGGAAAGAGAGAGGAGAGCGAGAGAGAGAGAGAGAGAGAGAGAACAGA